GATACAAGTAATCAATATTCAATAATTTACAACTTCAAAAGAATTTATTATTCACTTATCTAGAATGTATGACTAGAATTTCTAAAAAAATGCTAACTATTTGGTGATATTTTAATGAAAGTAACTTAACAATTCTTGCTTACTTACAACAACATTTTTTCATTTCAAAATTCCTATCATTCTGAACGGGTGTTCTGAATCAAATTCAGACAATCATATAAAAAAAATACACAGTTTGAGTCAATCATTGCTTCTGAAGCCAATACATGCTTGTAGTAAGTTAATAAACTCATCATTAACGACGGGTATACTGCCAATTGACTGAAGTTTTAAATGTAAGCCTTTAACCTTTAACTCAGAAATCTAAAAGTACACAACTAGTTATATGACCTGACAATTCCTAGTTTACTCTTGTGTTATATTATGGTTGTGCACTATTGAGGATCAACACTGAATGTTAGTTCATGATGAAAATTGTAAAGCGTTCATCCACTACTGTTTGGATACAACGTTTTCAAGAGTTTTTGAGTCTTCAAAGACTTTAACGTGAGAAATTTTTTAGATCTCTCCAACAATTATTATTAGAGTTAATTCGTCATTGCAAAAAATAACCCAGATCAGTTAGAAACAAGGTGAATTGTACTTTTGTTCTTAATCTGTCAACCTTCACATCAATTTTTATTGGCTAACACTTTATTTATTTGTCAAGCGACAAGTTTTACAATTTATCTAATTTAACGACCATGTGATCATTTTTCATCAATGTTCATTGATAATCAGTTGATGATACACAAGAAATGCAGAGACTTTAGTATCAGTATTATGAAAACATAAATGTTTTGTTTGAGATTAAAATAGTCAAATACTCATTCAGAAACATTCGCATCAAATTTCACGCATATAAGTGTTTTTAAGTGTTTTTGACAAGAAAATATTTAGCCATCATTACTGAATGTTCTAGTAAACAAACTGATAGATATTACGGGTAGATATGCAATATCCATAAGCAAAACCTTTATACTATTCAACAAACAAAAGACTTGAAAGAGATGCTAAATCTATTGTTGGCTGATGAGTTTCATGAACACATGAATAACAACAGCATGCCATTCACTTGACAGATTTCCATCGTCTTTTCAAGGATTTTACAGATAATGAATTGTCTAATCTTTTTCAGTCACAGCACAATCCTTTTATCTATCCCTAGGTGTAGTTCAATTAAATTTTAGTTTAGTTCATAGTATCTCAAGTTCGAATGTTTTGTTTTATACCGTGAATTGAGTATCTCGTAATGTAGTGCAACTTCTCAAGACCGAGTCTTGAGATTTCTAAGGAAGAACATATATCATACCGATAAACTGTTATATTGAGTTCCTTTTTAGAGTGTTCACTAGCTTAATTTCCCTTATGCGGCAAATTTTACTGATTCTACCTAGTATACCATTTTTAGATTTATCTTCGTATCCGAAATACAAAATACAGGTTATCTAATAGGTTAATTCTTGAAAATCTAATCGATTTCGGTGACGTAGCATTTAATCAGTAATATCTTCAAAAATGATCAAAAAAACATTCAAACACATCAGCTTATGTATCGGATTGTGGGTCACAAACAGTGCTTTTAACAGTTCACTAAGTGAAGTTATGACTCCATTTTTTATAAACCACAAGCATGATTCCTCATTCAACCATAATCTTAATTCACTTTATGCTTGAAATATTTTCTGACTTTTTAATTATTACTATCACCTATTTAATTTATTTCTTATCTTTTTGATTAAATGAACGATTAACATTCAAATGTTTCATGTGTAAACTATTTTCCACTGTATTCTGATTTTCATCAATATTCAGATCATTAGGCAACTTTTCTTCCCAAACAATTTTTTGTGACGTAATACCAATGATAAATAAGTACAATACTAATGGTACAAATTGAACATATGATATCAATAAAAAAAATATTTTGTTTGGAATTCGCCTATTCATGAATATGTAACAGTCGTTACTTCCTCTCAATCATGTTATATAATGAAGGTAAGAAACAAATGATAAAGAAACTAATTCATTTTTTCATTCCTTAAAGAATGTTTTTCATTAAATGTATGAAGCAGATAATACAACTGAATTTCTGATACAGTTTTTGATTGATTGTTTTGAAGTACAATTCAAAAAGAAAAAAAATTTATGTTAAATGTTAAACGTACTGCCCAGATTTAAAGACATTTCACATAGAAATTCTAATAATTATACCTGTACCGAGAAATCTTGGTGCAAAATACTAATAACATTGGAATTCAAAATGATTTATTATCAAACATTGACATCGATTTTTACAAAACACTGTTATCGTGTAACTTAAGGGCTGAATAAATTAACAATACTTTAAGTTATAGACAAACTCTTTATAAAGGTTTTTATAGGGATTAAACATTTATTTTCTGCACTGATTGATTTTGCGACACTATAACATTAAAACAAGGCATGAACATATTAGTCTTCAGAAATTTGATTGGTACTGTATTTAAACAGACTAAAAAAACACTAAAAATGCACTATTGAGAATTATTTATTCGTCTTTCGGATTCTAACTTCACCTGGAGCCCTTCTACGGTTACTACTGCTTGCAGTCCAAGACCAGCCCATCTCAACCCACCTAACACGGAAGCAACACCTATAGACCTCCCAATTACTCAGAAACAATGGAAGTAATCAACGTGACCATCAGACAAATCAAGGGTGGAAAAGCAGAAGGACCAGACAACATACCAACTGAATCATTGAAAGCAGACATAGGAGCAACTGCAAAAATATTCCACATTCTGTTCAGCAAGATTTGAAAGGAATAACAAGTACCAGCAGACTGGTACGAAGGACACTTCACCAATATATCAAAGAAAGGAGATCTCAGCAAATGCTAGAACTACATAGGCATCACTCTTCTCTTAATACCAGGAAAAGTCTTCAACAGAGTGTTATTGAACCGAATGAAAGATTCAGTAAGCGACCAACTCCGAGATCAGAAGGTTGGATTTCGTAAGGATCGATAACTTACCAACCAAATCACGACACGATGGATCATTGTGGCACAACCAGTTGGATGAAACTCATCACTCCACATTAAATCCCTTAAATACGAGAAAGCATTTGATAGCGTGGACAGGATAACACAATGGAGGCCTCTTCGACACTATGGCGTGACTTAGAAAATAATCAACATCATACGGAATTCTTACAATGGATTGAACTACAAGATCATGGATGTAGGACAGCTGACAGGCTCGTTCGAGGTGAAGACCGGTGTCATACAAGGTTGCTTACTCTTATCCATTCACTTTCTCGTGTTGATCGACTGATTTATGAAGACATCAACATCTGGAGGGAAGCACGGTATCCGATGGACAATCACGATGTAGCTGGACAACCTGGACTGCGCAGATGACTTGGCTCTTCTATCGCACACGCAAAAACAAATGCAAGAGAAGACGACCAGTGTAGCAGCAGGTCTCAGCATACACAGAGGGAAAAGTAAGATTTTCTGAAACAACACAACATGCGCCAACCAAATCACTCTTGATGGAGATGCCTTGGAGGACGTAAAAATCTTTACGTATCTGGGCAGCATCATTGACAGTCAAGATGGACCCGATGCAGATGTGGGGGCGCGGATCGGCAAGTCAAGGGCTACATTTCTACAATCGAAAAACATCTGGAACTCTAAACAACTTTCAACAAACACCAAAATCAGAATTTTCAATACAAACGTCAAGACAGTTCTACTGTATGGTTCGGACATACAATGAAGAAATCACTCGACTGCACGCCCACACAATTCCTAATTTATTATTCTCAAGTAAAAGGAAAAGTGGAAGATCAAAGAGGACATTACGCTGAGAATCAGAAGTAGATATGAAAAGAATGAGTATCAGCTGCGTAGAACTGGAAAGGAAGGCCCAGGACAGATTATGTTGGAGAATGCTGTTCGGCGGCCTATGCTCGTTTATAGTTAACAGGCGTAAGTGGATAATTTTCAAATTCTTGGGTTCTCATCTCAGTCATTAAAAATGCGTAATAATATTAATTTTTATGCTTACAATACGTTGTTGAAAATAGTTGAGTACGTTGATAGCCTTGTTACTGAAAGTTACAATTGATTCAAGTTAGAGGATATTAAAAAGTAAGTGTTAGATCAGTGGTTATTACAAGCCGACTCGAACATAAACAAAACAATGAAAGATGAACCTTTTGATGCAACAAAGAAGACAAATTTCAATGTTTGCCTTGAAAATTTGATTTTTAGTAACAATGATTTCTGACTAGCTACTGTATTTTAGTACGTTATAAGCCAAAGGAAAATTAATTTTCGGGCCAACTAGTTTTGCATAACTGACCGAATTGTCATTTTGACAAACAATCAACATTCAGACTGTCAAGGGGATGAAAAATAATCTAATAGCAATATTCAACAACAAAACTGGTTTGTCAAATAAACACATTTTAGTTTTATAACTCTGAGCTGACAAATCAAAAAGGTCCAATTGATCTTGAAAAGAAAAGCATTAAACTACTGAGGCTTCTTTTTTTTATAACAATACTGAATTCCCCTTTATTAACAAGATGACATTTTAGTTGCAATAAATTTGAAAAATAAAAACCTGTTACCTTAATGGCTAAAATTATTTTAAATATATATACATAGTTTTTTTTGAAAGATGTATACTTTCTTTGAAATTAACTTCAACTAAAAATCAGTAAATATGTAGTTCTGAAATCCATCTGTTTCGATTAATATAATTTCCAGATGGACATTTACTGAATTAACTATTTTAACAATCATGTCAAAAAAGCTTTCCCTAAAAAGAATAAAAAACTATTTCTAGGCTGAGTTATCAATAATTGGCTTTGTGATAGTTTTCCTCACTTTCATAATTAAAGTAAATAGACACAGCTTTTTCTAAACTTTGTAAATGATTTTAAAATTTCCTACAAAAATAAATTACCACATTTTCATTTTCTACCAGAACTTGATCATATTCATTTAATGCACCTAAAAATATAATAGCAGTAACATTTTCAAAGGAATGAATCCATTTTCTTCTTTCTGATCTTTGACCGCCCACATCGACAATCCTTTATCAAAAGTGTATCATAAATATAACATGCAAAGATAATCATATTTTATTTAAAGATATTGAGTTATAATGTTAAATGGTTAGAGGAATTCGACGGAAAATACTGAAATCTAGGTTTCGTTCTAGTTAGTGCTTGTCTGTTACGTACATCTCCGATTTTGTTAGATTTTGTGTAGTTGGTTCCCTTCACGAATATACAGAAATTTTAGGGAACCGATAATCTATTTAGAATCGAATCCCAGACTACTCAATTTTTAATTTCAAACTTTGTCACCTGGCTTGTATCGTTACCGTCGACTTCCTGTTAGACTGAGATAAAATTAACTGATATTGGTCTAAGCTATAAACTTTGGTGAAATGAGTTCGTTATCTTACAAAATACATTGGTCATTTGAACATTGCAGGTACTTCTTGTTGATGAGTGTCAACTAACACGACCAAGGATTCCTGCTGACTACCCTCTAGCACTTAACATCTCAAAATAGTGCATATGCTGTTGAGAAATTTAGACTGGTGGTAAAAGTCTAACTTGATGGATCGAATTCTATCAGAATTAAGGACTATATTATATGTCATTACTTACTTACTTACTTACGCCTGTTACACCCAATGGAGCATAGGCCGCCCACCAGTTTTCCCCAACCAACTCTGTCCTGGGCTTCCCTCTCCAGTTCTGTCCAATGTTTGTTCATTCCTCTCATATCTTTCTCTATTTCTCGACGTAACGTGTTCCTTCGGCTTCCTCTTTTCCTTTTGCCTTGAGGGTTCCATGTGAGGGCTTGTCCTGTGACGCAGTTAGGTGCTTTTCGCAGTGTGCATCCTATCCACTTCCACTGCTTCTCCTTGATTTCCTCCTCCACTGGAATCTGGTTTGTTCTCTCCCACAGTAAGTTGTTGCTAATGGTGTCTGGCCAACGAATACGAAGTATTTTGCGTAGACAGCTGTTAATAAACACTTGTATCTTCTGGATGATGGTTTTGGTAGTTCTCCAAGTTTCCGCTCCATACAGCAGAACTGTCTTGACATTTGTATTGAAAATGCTGATTTTGGTTTTGGTTGAAAGTTGTTTGGAGTTCCAGATATTTTTCAACTGTAGAAATGCAGCCCTTGCTTCGACAATCCGCGCCCTCACATCTGCATCTGATCCACCTTGATTGTCAATGATGCTGCCCAGATATGTAAAAGTGTTAACGTCCTCGAAAGCATCTCCATCAAGAGTGATTTGGTTGGTGCATGTTGTGTTGCATCGGAGAATTTTGCTTTTTCCTTTATGTATATTGAGACCTACTGCTGCAGAGGCTGCTGCTACACTGGTCGTCTTCTCTTGCATTTGTTGTTGCATGTGCGATAGAAAAGCCAGATCATCTGTGAAGTCCAAATAGTCCAGCTGCCCTCTTGTTCCTCCTTTTCTTCAACTTTTGCAAGAGTACCAACAGAGATCCATTCCTTGTGATGGTGCTTCTTGTAACCCAGAACTTCGTGACATGTTGAAGTGATTTCCTCCTTAATCCCTTTCCAACTGTTCTCCAGTGTTGCGTCCTCTCCATTGTGTAGATCCTGAAAGGCCTGGAACCTATTGGTGAGGGCTATCTTGAATTCGTTTAGCTTTACAGTATCCCGAAGAAAGGCCGTATTAAACTTGTGTGATGTTGTCTGTCCCGTTGTCCAGTGCTTCTTTAGTTTCAGTTTCATTTTGGCGATCAGCAAATGGTGATCTGAGGCTATATCAGCTCCTCTCCTGGTTCTCACATCCTCCATGGTCCTTTTGAACGCTTTGTTGATACAGATATGGTCAATCTGGTTTTGAGTAGTGTGATCAGGTGAAATCCATGTGGCTTTGTGTATGCGTTTGTGCGGGAATATTGTGCCACCGATGACCAGTTTGTTGAAGGCACATAGGTTTGCAAATCTCTCACCGTTTTCGTTTCTTTCTCCCAGTCCATGTCGTCCCATGATGCCTTCATATCCAGTGTTGTCCATCCCAACCTTGGCATTCAGGTCTCCCATAAGAATCGTCAAATCCTTTGGTGAGCATCTGTCAACGATTGACTGCAGCCTTTCGTAGAATTGATCTTTATCGTCGTCATTGTAGTCGTTGGTAGGTGCATAGCATTGGATGACCTTCATTGTAATGTCATTGGTCACTACTTAGTGGTGAATCAGTATTTTACAGGACGTTTGAATGGTATCATGAAGCACATGTATTACTGGAACAAGTGATCATGTTTGCAATTTTCTTTTAGTCCCTTTTGGGACAAACTTTGTAATAATTTGTGAAATAGTGTTTACATTATTGGTTGGAAAGTTAGCGAATTTGATTCAGTAATATAAGTTCACTGAATTCTAATTAATGTTTAGCAGATTACGAGACTGTGTCAGAGGAAGAATGTAAACATTTATTGAGAATAATTTAAACTACACAACATCTCTGTAAACTGAAGAAACACAGTACAAAGATTCATTTATTTTAAGGACAGAAACACAATCTTGTTGATTAGTAGCAAAAGAGTATCTGATATTTTCATCTACTACATTAATTATTAGAAAAATATAGATCCTAATGACCTTTTGAAATTTTCTACACTGTTCGGATTACGCAGTAAAGTGAAACAAGTTTTTTTCCTACTGTTTTTGAATCTAATTTTTTCATTGTGTTCTACCAGTAATTTTTTTCCAGAATTTCAACAAACAAACAAACTAACTAACTAACCTGAAAATAGTTGAATCCAAATTGAATGGATATTCAACAATGCCAGTTGTTGGTACACGTACACGTAAAATGTCTTGTAGACTTGGTATGTAATTTGCATCAGCGATTCTGTCAAAATTATTCAGGTAGCTGAAAAAGAAGTGTGTTAAAAAAAACAACTTAGATCTTTAGAAAGACTAAAAACTGAAGTTTTTATGATGGCTAATTAATCTGATGGGTCTTATGATTTTGTAAAATTACTGCTTTTTACCTTAGACTTGATATTAGTCTGATTTTTTTCTTGTAACCTTTAAGAATTTCATTTGACAGTAGCGGTGAATATTTGGAGCTAAAATACGCTAAACATTTCTGCTATATTGAGTAAAATTGACAAGTTAATGATATTTTTAGATGCCTACCAGTAGCGTTAAAGTAGTAGGTAACTTTTAAAATATAAGGAAGACTAGACAGATATTTTGTTTATGTTCACGCCTAACAAACAACAAGATCTGCAAAATCTTCTGGGTTTTTTCTAAAATGAATGGATTCCTTGAAAAGTCTTCAACATAATCCTAGGTGAAATCATCTTTGTAAGCTTCAAGAACTGTGTGTATATTTCATTCCTAGTCAAACTTACGTTAGCGTTTACTCATAATGAACAATGTGTTATTTTGTAGACTTTAATCTAAGTTAATTAATCTGAGGATGAAGTTATAAAGTGTAGTTTTCTTAGTCGACTAGGTCAATTCACTTTTAAGAGAATAATCTGAATACGTTTTTAAGTCATAATGTGACTTTAGAAATAATGTGAAGTTGTCAGTATTTTATTTTCCCTAATATCTAAGAAGAAGAAGAAGAAGAAGATATGAGTCCATTGGATTTTATTTACCAATAATCGTTTTTATTTCAACTTGAAAATCCTATTCAAGTTCGATTCAATCAACTAATAATACTGTAAAGCTTTAAAGAAGGTAATGACATCAAATTGTTAACTAAATTTGTTTTGTTTCAATGACAACTTATGAAGTTGGTTATTCTTTGTGAATACGCTGGATATTATGAACTCTATTATTTGAATTTTTCGTAAGTTATTTTGTTAGGTCCTTTTCTATAAAATGATTACATAATTAGAGTCTTTTTCGATTCCTTACATTTCTGTGAACAAGGTGTTATGATTGAAATAACCGTTTTTATATTTAATTTTTATTTAGGAATGGAAAAAGATATAAAATACATATTTTTCGTCAGATATTTAGTATTTCTACTTCTCACTTTGACTGGACATATCAATATTCCGATTAGGTCAGTTAGTCTTCTGTATTGTCATACTTATAGCATTTTTAAAAATAAGCATAAACAGTTATCAGTAACCGAATCCCAAGGACTGAATACCTTCAATTTTATGAGTTATTCAGATAGATTTTCAATAAATATGCCAGTCACCTTTAGGCTGTTAGCTTTTTAGTTACAGATTGATGATACTTTTTGGATTGTTCAGGACCTGGGAAAGATTGACTCTTGAGGAGCAGGCCGGTTTCCGTTCTTGTCGGGGATGTATTTATTTTGCTTTCGCTCTCCCTACTCTTTGAAGGTAAACGATCGTTGTAGTTCTTGACGTCAGAGCCTCCTTAGACTTGTTAGGCAGGATTTTTTATACGGGAATATCTGTTGAAGAAGGGTGTGTTGAAAAAGTTTACTAACATCCTGAAGGCCCTATTTAGAAACACTTCAGGGAGATTGAAGGAAAACGTCCACCTCTCTTTATTGTTTTATCTAGCCATTGGGGTTTGGTTAGGTAGCCCGATCTCACCATTCTTTCCCAATTTGCCCCTCAGTGGGGTTCTGAAAACAGCTCTAATGAATTTAAATGGAAGTGTGCAACTTTTACCTGGAGAAACACTTTTCGACCTTCAGTATACGAATGATATTGTCTAACTGTGCAGTGATATCCAAGCCATACAATTCGTATTTAGTCAGTTCGCAATCACTGTCCATAGGTATGGGATATGCTTTTCACCTTCTAAGTGCAAATTACTTTTCCAAAACTGTCAGGACCCTGAACTTGCACTCACTTTGTTAGTAAGCAGATAGAATTAGTTAGTTTCGTATATCTGGGTATTCATGAAGGCGTTGGTGCTGGCTTGAGTAATGAGATCAATTACCGTATGATGAAAGCCAGAGAGGTCTATGCAAATCTGAACCATCTATAGAGCCTTCGTGATGTTAGTCTAGCCGTAAAAGGTAGGGTCTACAATGGTACGGTAAGACCAGTTTCGTTTTGGGCTTGTTAAACCTGGCTTCTGCGAGTTCAGGATGTTGAGTGACGCTCTGTGTTTGATCATCGTTGTCTCCGAAGAATTGTTGACAGTAACTGGTGTGTTTGTAATGAGGAGGTTTAGTAACGTGTATTCTGGCAAAGCGACGATAATTCACCATCTTGTAACACAGACTTCGGTGGCTTGAACCTGTGTTTCGGAGTAGTCCCAGCGAATCCCACGCAATGCATTATTTGCCAACTCTGGGACGGGTTAGAAAAAACGAATATGTAAATCAGTGTGGTATGAAGGTAAGCTGTACAGAACTGGTTTCTTTTAGTCCCTCGCGACTTCTTAATTAACGTCTTGTAGACGATGATACTCAGTGGCTTGAGCTGTTATTGGACATGGTATAGACTAGAAACCAGTAGTGGTTCTAATGTAGTTTCTTCAACTGAAAGAATCCTCTGTCGTTGTATTTCCCGTAACTGTTTCCTCTTCTATTGCTGTCATTATTTCCCTCTTAGGCGCTAATTTCTATTCCTTTTTTATGCTTTATCTTATTAAGCTTATCTGTCTTTCTTTCTTCACAACCTCATTTTTATTGTGTTGCGCATATGTGGTTTGGTTCCATCTTGTACCAATGTTTATGTGATTAAAACAAACAATAAATACAGACCATGTACGTATGATCAAATACTTTGAGAGGATATTGGTATATTTTTGGTCAACATAAAATGTGACAATAAATGAATACACACCTAGGTAGCCATTTTATGAACTGTTTAAGCAACTGCATTCCATAATACTAATATATCACCTATTTATTTTCGGGGATTATATTGTCTCTTGTGATTTAATAAGGTAAACTAAATACTTCTATTAGTTGAAAAGAAACTGAATTTTTATTGTGTTATGGTTGGAGACTCTGACAGAAGCACATCTGCAGTTGTGGTGGAACTAACACTATCATAGAGATTACTAGTGGTACCAAACAGTCCCTCAGTGGAAAACGCTACTTCTGAGCTAACCAGAACCAAACCTAGGTTTAAAGCTTTTGATCCACTTCCTCCAAATAATTAACTTTAAATAAGGTGAATGAATCTGTCAACTTTATCGGAATCATTTAACAGATAGTAAAGATCAGAAAATTTGTTATGAATTATCGTCAAGTGATTGATGAGTGTAATTAAATATCTCTCCAGTATTCATAAGGAGGATTGATTTAGATAATCGGCAATACTTGGTAAATTCAAGTGATGTTCAGGACGTTAAACTATATGCCACTCTTACTTACAAGTTGATAACCTATAAAATATAATGAACTGAGGATATGTGATTATTATTTGAAAATAAATTTACATCTTAATGAAAATGAAGAGCGTTTTTCTTGAATAATAGCTGAGTTTGCATAACATGAAATGATAATTGATTTGTTGAAGTATGAGGATTACAATACACTTTGCATTGACTTTAACCTGTTTTATTGTTTGAGTGTATTCAAACAGTTACTTGAAAAATGTCTGCTGTTTTTCGATGATAAAGTAATAATTATATTAATTAGATCAGATATTTTTGATGAATAATGTTTGTCCACATTTTTATCAATTTACTTTAACCCAACCTATGATTAAAATGGGTTGAGTAAGAAACGAAATCATAGCTAAGAATACGAAAAGTTTAATTTGTCCTAATTTTTATAACTTACTACTTTGATGAGTCGGACAATTGAAATTCCCTTCTGCGTTCATAACATTCTTTCATTCCTGGATCAGCCCATAATTGAAGTATGGCTTCGATGCGTTCATGTGTCAGAGCAATAGAATCTTCAATATCAACTTCTCGAATAAGTTTCATGTTTTCCTAGTCTCGTTTCAAGTGAAGACATTTTTTGTCAGTTGTACACATTGGACATAAAAAATTAGAACCACTTCACAAATCACTATCATCATATATAATTCTGAAAGTGTTATATTAGACATGTTGCATTTGACATGAGATTGAACTAGTAACATTTAAATCTAGCGTAATGCATCATTTTTTTTTAGATTAATCGTCATAGTTTAGAGGATTCCAACTTCAATCAGTTCACGATATGTTGCGACCATCACATCTTAGGTGACGGCTATGACTTCTGTTCGAGGTTCTAATGAAACTTCGAAAAATTTATCTCTCCGCCGTGCATTAGTTAAAAATGACAATAACAGATAATATTAAACTTCAGCATACAAAAGTACAAAACATCTTCATTATTAGCGTCTTCGATGAGTACAATCGCGATGTCATAATAGATAATGTTCATTTTTTTTCTCATCGAATACTGCTTATCAGTGCCTAGGAATATTCAATCTTCCTATCATACTATTTTTTGAATAACTTTAATTGCAATAAATTTCTTTTACTTATTATAGTTTTCTTTCAAATGAAAAATATTCATTCTAGAGAAATGGTGATTGTTGTTTTTGATTGAAATCATCAAGTTGCGCAAAACCTTTGATTGATCAGAGTTAGGAATGAACACAATTGGATGCCGGCTCATTGGTCTAAGGGTTAAGCGTTCACGTATGAGACTGAAAGGCCTTGGATTCGACTCCCTGCGAGTGGGAGTCGTGGATGTGCACTGCTGAACAGTTCCATACTAGGAAGAGATGGTCTTCCGGTACTTTCATATTTCTAATGTTGGTCTAACAATGATTGATTGATGATTCCAATCAAAACGATTTGTTTCACCTGGTTCATTTAGCAATAGAAATTATTCAAAAATGTGTATTCGATCAATATCATCGGATAAATTGAGTGAATTTTCATTTTGTAGCTTATTACTCGGGATGATTCTAAATTGAGGCTCTTTATTTTGTTGCACATTCAGAAAATCACATAAAATAAAAGCGAATCTATTTTCTTGATTATTCGTCATTATTATTCACTTGAACATTCAATGAATTCCCTTTTTCTCATTCAGTTGAAATTGATCAAACAGTACTACTATTAATATTCTGCAATTGAAAGTATAGATGATTATATTATAACGATTAAGAATATATCAATTCAACTGGTAAACACTGCCTTGATATATTTTAAAGCAATTAGAAATATTGTTTTTATTCTAGTTAGTATAAAAACTCGATCATTTTATGTAAAAAAAAATGAAGATATGAACTATAACATTCATAGATATCTCAACATGTTGTTTGTTAACTTACTTGATTTTCAGGATTTTTTAATTCTATCGAAAGTGAACTCAATGCATCACACATTGTATGCATGGCTAGAAAAATATTCTGATAGATTAAATTCTTAAACGAGCATTTATCTTTGTCTGTATAACCAATTCCATGTATAATTCTCATTTGTTTTACAAAAGTACTTTTACCAGATTCCCCAGTACCTGAAAAAAAAGTTGAAAATTGTTTCCAATACATTTTTAATCTATATCAGTAGTTTAGATAGTAATAATGATGAGTTTTTAGATGAATACCTTAATTTTTATCATGATATCTTTCAGGATCTTTGAGTATTATTCACATGGAACATGTGACTTATCTAACACATATTTTTAGTTCTAGGTGCTTAATGTTAGTAATTCTGTTAAATACTAGTCACCTAATACTTACAACTGGAAAGGAGGAACCACTACAATTGTCACGACACGAAGTAAGAACTCACAAGGCTGGTACATGTAAAGATTTGTTCATTTTAAAAATGTGATGAACGTGGCCGGAAATACACTCATTCGATGAAATAATAACAAGAAAAGTCACATACATAAAAAATGCCCAGAGTTATGACGAAACTGTATATATCACATGTCATGCTGAATATGGTTCAAATTCATTTAATACAAATATTCAATACATGATTTCATCTTTTTACTTCGCTATATTAACTACGTAACAAGTGTTGATAGTTATTATAACTAGTTAAAAGGTATGAATTTAGTTAAATTAGATAAAGCATTATTTTCCAATTTTCGCATACAAGTAACTTCAATAGATTTTAGGGATAATTTTAGCATGATGATTATTAAAAAATGTGTTGAAAATGTGTTTGGTGAAAGTACACATTTATTATTATGTATCACTATGTGATTTTAACTTTATTCTTAACCACTTTTAATATGTATGCTTCAAAAAAGGAATAGACTGCCAGGTAATCAGCGATCAGTAAATCTGAGGTTTATGCCTGTATTATTTTCAACATAAATGATAGTTGTTTTATGTGGATTCTGTCGATTGTTTATTTTTCAAATAGTGCAATGTATAAACAACTAAACAATTCATATTTAGAGATCTTACTAATATAAAGTAATAGAGAATGTTAATTCAAAGAAATTTGTACAATGACATGCTTTAACTAATTAATTTTATCTAGGTTTATACACTATTAGGTAGTATAATTATGAACAGAGATTCCCTTTTTCAAATTAAAAAAAAAAACTTACCAAGTAATAGTAATTTCACTTCTTTTCTGTGTGCATTTTTATCTTTATGTAATTGACGTTCAATTTCTCGACTAATTCGTTGTTGTTCTCGAAATTCTTCTGATCGAAAACAGAACATTTTTATGATAGAATCCGATTATTATTATTTTATAGATTGGAACATTGACCAGTTGACAAGGTATTTATATGAATATTGAATGTAGTAAATGTCCAACATTATATTCATCCACTGAACAAGCGAAAATATTGAATAATTAACTCCTCATAGTTTTCTCTTCGCATTTTAGCTGGACACACCCTTAAGATTAGATAAGAATTATGTAAACTAGAAATGTGAGCGAATCGGCAGATTAGTAGTAAACTTAGTAATCAGTATTAATAGCAATATTTTGTTTGCTATTATTATTTGAAAGTAATCTGATAACGTGTGTTTATCAGCCATAAAGAATATTGGACTGTGTTTAGATGAGGAAAAAGTATTCAAAAGTGAATTTGAGTGAATAACCTATACTTTTAGTGTAATATTTCCAGCCAAGAATTTTTAAGTATGTAAGTGTGATGTCGAAAGATGCAAAACTAAATACACACTAAATATATAATCATGAAGATAAATTTATCATATTGAATAGTATTATTTGAGTCATTCTCAAATACTAACATTGGGGAGATGAATAAGTTAGGAAAATGCTTGCTTTTATATTATATATCTAAGTTCGGCAATCATATACAGAATGGTTACCTTTTAGATGTGGTATTATTCAAATGAATATCGTGTATTTATCACTTCTAATTATTAAGGGGTGACTAGTTCAGGACCTATAAAGTGCCGGAGAGATTTGAACATAAGCTTTCATGAGAACTCTCAAAGCTCTAATGGGAAGCAGTTATCGGTCAAGATTGATTATATCAGTTAGGGAGTTTTTATAATAAATCAATAATCCTCACATAATATTATAAACTTAGTGAAGTTTGAAATGTAAGTTATCGAATTCTGAATTCGTGGTTTGAAAGTATTACATTAGTTGGGAAACCTGTAAGTTCACAGCGATATCCCATGTATGGTCGCTTATGTGTACAGATATAAGGTCTCAGAGATTTGAGCAATGACGTCAATTTTTATTTGACTATCTAACTGATTACAGTTCGTTATGAAAAGTATCTTGACGTTAAAATAAAATCAAATTCTGGCGACTAAAATAAAAACGTTTACCTAAATTTGAACATACACTTTAGTAATTTACAAAAACTGACTCTATATAAGCAAATTTTCATCAATTTTATTTGTATTATTATTTTGTGCATCAAAATACAGTAGTTGGTTCTATGCACAGCTAAAAATAGGTTTTATAGTAAAAATTATTCCAATATGTAAATTAACCTCCGACTTCAAGCTAGATGTAAGCAAGTTAGTTTATTGAATACAAAATAAATACTATATGTAGTGACTGTAGACTTATTAGCTGTTAGTGTGAACAGTTGTCACCTCTAGGTCCTATCGTTGTTGAATTTTGTTCTAGCAAAACTGGAGGTTATTGATAAGCTTGACTCATATTACTGTTACATTGATGATACTTCCATCATTGCTGATGAGAATATTGGCATAGAACTCCGAAAGAAATTTAACAAGATTCACTCAGTAATCAGAGGAATTTGTTAATAAGTTACATTTTTTGATACTGTTAAACAAAAAAGAAAATGGTTTTATTATCAGAAGTGTGTATAGAAAAGGTTTTCCATCAAACAGGTACATATATTTCTTGAACATTTTGCGCATTCATTACAAAAGAAATCTAGTTACGTTTCACTACAAAGATGCTCCAATATCACTATAGAGAGGGAGCTGAAAATTGTTCACAATGTTAATTAAAATGGATTATTAGGGAGATTTTCTGAAAAAATGCTTGCATATGGTGACTAAGAACGTAGTGACATTGACTGATTAAGAAACCTCTCTTACTGAAGTTTCAATTCAAGAGGGATATAGCTAGTGATGTACTACAGAATCAAATAACTGGAACAATGAAGAGGACGTTTAACGTAGCTGACTTCTGTCTGTAGTTATAAAGACGGTTATTTGTGATTTCTTAACTAAAGGATCATTTGCTTAACGCTGTTCATCCATATGTACTTACGAATTCAGCTGCTCATGTGAAGAAAGCTATACAGGGCGTTCAATCTTACAAATGAGAAAACAACTTAGTGAACACCTTTCACGCTTGAGAAGGAGTATCATCAAAACAATACGCAGCTCCTTCCTGTTACACTTGGTCGATAGCGGTCATACAGTAGATAGAAATAATATGTTTACAGTAAGCTAGTGTATGCTTACTAGCTTTCCTTAAGGGGTTCATTCTCATCTCTTACAAATAGCAGGAGTTATAGTGATTAGAACCATATTATATCCCAAAATTAAACTTTAATATGTAGATGGTTGTAAGCAGCTGATGAATAACTACGAAATATCATAGATTCATACTATTCTACTTCAATTGTTGTTTTGGCTTCATTGAAATAACTTATAATTACACATGAAGTTCTTGGCTAGAATAGAAATGGATCCACGAAACCTCTAATGAGTATAACAATGCTGTCAAAATGCTTATCTAATCTACGTGAAGTTGTTAGAAAATCCTAATTTTATTGAACTTACAATACTTGAAAAAGAAGCCTATTATTATACCGACTCCAGGCTAAGAAATAAATATTGACGGTTGTGAAATGATAACGATCGTAAACCTGATAATCAATTTGCTTTCTGGCTAAATATTTTCTGATTGCATAAAATTACATCTCGAAAGCGACTATAGTCATATAGTCGCTGATGCTTTGTTTTACGACAACCGCATTTTGTGACCGATGGAAGAAGCCTTTTGATTATATTTTTCTTACGTTTTATCTTACTCGCTTTATTTAAGTAGTATAAGTATCATATCTGATTTTGTGGCAACCGCTGTTACTACATCGATTTGTTTGCAATAGTGCATAACTTAATAGCAGTTAAATTTCCTTATAACTGGGTGTTGTTTGAAGATTCATAATATTTTAGATCATATTTTAAGGTAGTTTTTTAAGTCTATTTTATGGAGACAAATTCCAATTTTGATTATCTAATTTATAGATTTTACAGTACTCACTAATAAACCGCGGCACGGATTCCAGTTCTTGCTTTTCTTCAATCAATTATATCGATAGATTATGCGAGCATACTGGATGCCTATTAATAGTTCCACCATGTTAATTTAAAGAACGGTTATGCATTATGTATGAAAATTTGGTAAGCTCTTGATAGGTTCGGATAATTATATTTTGATTTTATGATTCCCGATAATCCCACTTTATTTTATAACGTGCTTTTTCCGATAGAAAATAGCCTGAGACATATGTAGAAAGAAAACAAAAGTTTTAGGAAATAAATTTTTCTTTCAGATGATTTGATTTATAAAAGATGTACAATAATATTCACATGAAATAATTAATGCAACAAATAAATTTTGCATGTCAGTTTTTATATCGGGTACATGAAGTATAGTTTGGGTTCATAGGTAGAATAGACTATTCACCCAGCTTGAAATATAAAGACCTAAAACAAATCTACAGTCGGCCGATTCATTATACTCCAGATCAGCGTAGGGAAGTTAAATCAACAAGTTGCAGGTCTACGCGTTCAAAATAATGGTATAAAGCTGATCGTAGAGAATACGATTTCAGAAAAAAAACAAATGTAGTTGAGAAACAAAAAGTTACGAACTAATAGAAAACTTTGAGTTTGAAGAAGAAAAAAGAAGAATCGACAGAAGTTACGTGTTCATTTCACTGTCGCCAACAGTACGTGAATTTGGTATGCGATTTACGTGATCCAATTAAACTGTTTCTAAGTTAATTTTATTTTATCGCACGATTCCAAAATTCGAACTTGATAGGTTGCCCGAAACCTTACACTCCCATGATTGGTTTAAGTAATTATTGTTTACTGTTCACTTTACTTATTTATTAATTATCGGTTGACTATTTATTGTTTGAAAGAAAGTTTTCAACTCGAACTAATTTTTACGCTCATTGCGGGGTTTTATGGAGATTGTAGAATTTTCATGGTTTAAATCCCTAATGGGTGTTTTGTCCTTGTGTAGAACCATAGACAACTGAGAATGTTTCGAGAAACAGAAATAGTCTTTGAACTCTGTTTGACTCCAGATGTGCTTATTCAGCTGAAACTAACATCTACAGCTTACCGTTTTGAATGATAGACCACGAGACAAAGCAGTTTTACATATGTTATATAGATTCACAAATGTTTCTTTAATATAAAAAAAAATCAAAATTTCAAATTGCTATTTATATACGGTTTGTGTAAAAATGGCTATTATGAAAACAGTTGTCATTAAGAATCACCAAGCTTAGGAATTTAGAGACTATAATTAAGTGGTAATCGTTGCATTAATATGAGTTATCTTAATTTCGCTTTAAAAAACCCCATTAATAAGCCTACTACAATGATAACATGGACAACTACAGAAATACGTTTGCACTTGATACTAAATTTGGTTAGTTTTCCTAACTGATGCATCAAGCTTGGTTGTTTGAATAGACTTCGAAATATTGTAAAGTGTATAAATTAACCTGTATTGTTGATACTGTCGCACCTGATATTGTAAGAGATGTTAGATGATTAAGTTCTCATATAGCTTAACTGCGACTCACAGAACAATCAGAATCTCGGTGATTCGCTTACCGTAACTTTAACACGCCTATCTAGTTGACTGCTGCGTAAATGTGCAGAAATCACTGACATTATTTTATTAGTCACATCGCATGAAATTATCCATGAATGTTCGTGGTTTTTAAACAAATTTTGGAAAAAACAAACCAATTTTACCCTATTAATAAAACGTATTGGCTTATAAAAAGCTTATATAAATTAAAGGTACATATTTGGTCGTAGTTACAGAATGTAATTAGGAGGGAATGCTGTTGTTACGAGGGGGTACAGTTTTCATTGTACAGTCTAACCAAGCACCAGCATATATATATATACAACAGGCGCTTCAGTGGGACAGGAATTTAAACAAATGCTTTGATATGATCAAAAATTTTCAGTGAAACTTCATAAGTAATCGATAATAGTTTGTTTTTCACTGATGTCACGTTAAACGCTGTCGTCCTGAAGTGAAGATCATAAGTGTCTAGGTCAACGTAGATAGGTTATCAACAAAGCGGCGACGGCTGCTACTGATGTTTATTCAGATGGTTAAATTCATACAGACAATCCTGTATATGTTTTAATAAAGCAGATTTCCTGTAAGTCACATCTCGCCTACCAAAGAAATTATCTATACACCAAGGTACTCCTGTCATCCCAGATATTTCGACAGGTGATATCGAAGTTAAAGTCAGTAAATATGATAATGTGCATATGGAATGTCAAAGGTTTAAATCATATCTGTTCCACATTTTTTTGTTTTTATCATACATAAACCGTAAATAATACAAAAGAAAATTATTGTACAAAGTTATAAGCATGTCATTATCTATCATCGTCATCATCTTCTTCCGCCTGTTCAAGCCAATCTAAGAAAGGTTTGATTTTTTCTCTTAATGATCGAGTTTTCTCTGAAATATCTTCATCAAGCAAAAGTGGCGAATTATCTTTCCACCACCATATATCGTCTTCTAAAACTAGATCATTATCATACAGAGTGTGAATAATAGACATTGAAGAAGCAAATATTAGTGAATCGTAGCATGCTGCATCCTCAACAGCTTGAAGATAGACTCGGCCAGTATTTGAAAATCCTGACACACATGACGACAGGACAGTATAAAATTTTGATAGAAGTTTACGAAGATTCACTATGAGTTCTGTTACATCAGCTTTACTGCATTCATTCTGTGATTTAAAAGATGAGTGCTCACGAGTTAATTCCAGTAAAGCTTTTGCCAGTAAGAATCCAAAATCTTCAATAGGTACATTATAAGCATGTTTTAAAGAATTAACTTCAAGTATTAGTGTTTCAGGAGGATACATACGTCGTTCGCCACGTTCCAAAGTTCGTTTTAACTCAGTAATTATGAAGCTTTCTGACTGTTCATCGTCGCCATCACTCTCAGTTTTCGACAGATCTTTAGATTGATGTTCCATATCTCCATCACTATCATCTATCTCACTTACCATACGGCGAGGTTTGCTGGACTTGCTACAACGTATATCACTAGTTCGACTATGGCTAGACATATGGTTTGTTCTCTGCCGTAGTGTTTTAGCTGCATTTTTAATTCTGTCCCAAGCTGTATCCCATAAAGGGCAACTTGTAGACTCATTGTTTGACATATATACTTGCTCAGATTGTGTATCCTCCTCAGAAAGAGTATCCACGGAATCACTCTGATATAAAATTGAAATACAGAATAAGCAGAATCAAAGCGTCTAGAACAAATGAGGGCAAGAAAAAAATTGTGCTTAACATCTAGCAACAGTAAATATATAACGCTTAGTAAATACAACTGATTATTTAAACGGAAAGATGTGAGGCAGGAATAAAAGACTTGGAGCTATTGGTTGACAGTTGAGTTAGAAACTACTAAGTTAACCTCACCGCAACAAAATAATTTGTGCGTTATAAACAAAGGTTTAGCTTAAATCTTCGTATGGCAATAGCTTCAGCGAACCATAGTAAATTTGATGTTCTCTGTTTATTATTTATCTTGAAGGAGCTTGAGATATCAACCTTATCATCATTGTCAAGCGAATGGTGTGTCATTGCGCTAATGAAGACATATGGTCCTCTTAGCTTAAGTTTCAGTGGAATGTACTCAGAGATGCGGATACTAACCCTCCTTCCACCTTTGCGATCTAAAAGAATGAGTTATTAATCTTGCCTTGCCATGGCAACCTCATTTATTAACATTGTTTGCTGATGAGACTTTTCCGATATTATGATATAAAGTATGTAGATTGATTTTTAATGATGGATACTATTACGTTTAGGTTGTAACCGCGAAATAAAATTGATTCATGTTATTCTGCTACGTGAATCGTTCTTGCTTCATTTAAATTTACTAATGTAAAAAATTGTATGAAACTTATTTGCAATTAGAATTAAAGGATCTACTTGTATGATAAAATAAATGAGCTCTCATTGCTGCAATAACTTGTAATTTAAGCAATAGTTATATAAAGATGTTATTATGAAAACGATCTGTATTCGTAAACAAGTATTAATAATTTTAAAGCTCGTTTTTTAAATATGATAGTCAATGAGAGTTCTACTATTCCCTTAACTAGCCCTATTAAAACGAGTGAAATGTAGATCTACGCAAAAGTGACTCATGTTTAGAGTTTACATATAAGCCTAAAGATGACAAGAAGTATGAATATTACTAGCAATATCAAGTTATATTTAAACAGCTTAACGTAGCTAGCAAATTTATCACACTGATTTTTTAAGTGTATTGTGTGGGAAGAGGTTTCGTGGAATAAGGAGACTATCAAGTCAGTAAATTAAAACCGATGATTTACATCCGCACAAGTGTATACTATTCATTCTGAAATAAAATAAACCATTTATTCATTTACTGCCTATTGACTTGATGTGATACTCTGTAGTTCGAAATGATACTTAAAATCATGGTGTTTAAAGGATTGTATACTCCCAAATTTACGTTCATACGTAGACCTGTAAAGAACTGTTTTCTATAATTATCATACGATCCATCTTCATCGACAGATTGATAACGCTTAAACTATTCCCTTGTTTTGTAAAAAAAAGGTTGTCTCCTCGAACTCTTGAACGATTAGAATAATTCCGATAATGAGGAATGAATTGACGTACAGTGATAAACTGTACGGTTAGATGAGAATCGGTCTGAATGGAGAAGATAACATCGACCCATCCCTAGCTCTAAACATTGGTAGACATATCATTTGTTTTTCTTTTCGTTCCTCTATGTTTTGTAGTGGGTTTGCCTTTACCAAGTTAAACGTTCAACAGATATTCAGGATCAGATAATAACGAAAGTATCCGTACATATTTCCACAGTTGGAATCACGAAAAGATCATGACTAGACGACTACTGTAAACCTGAAGGCACTGGATGGGTATCTTCTATCATTATACGGAAAGAACCCCTCAGCGAAAACTTTGAAGTTTGGGACTCATGGAGAGTTCTAGTTAGGAAATTAAGCACAAACTGTGACAGTATTGAAGTGTAGCATTACATGTTCAACAATTTTAGAATCTGAAAAGCAGAAAATTATAGCTTACTGTTCCTGAAGGTTGTCTTTTTTTATAGTAGGCTGCCCAGACTTGTTCACCACCGACTGAAGGGTCTATAACTAAATCACCTGCACGAGGCGCAACCAAAACGCTCTTACTTGGCAAGTTACCACATCCTGGACCCAATGTTACAGCTGTTGTTGATGAAGGGCCTATAAAACAGTGGTTAGGAAGTTTAAATCCAGAAAGTATGCGAACACCAGAACACAACCAAGCTACGTCCGCCTTCACATTACTAGCTATATGAACGTTTTCCAAAGCGATAACACGTCTTAATCGTGCATTTTCACCAACAAAACAATTGTCTCCAAGAGCACAGTCGATTAAGCAAGCATATGCCGATATTTCACATCCAGGTCCAATAAAGCACGCTCCGATTATTCTAGCTTTATGATGAACTTTCGCTGACTTAGCTGCAAAAACTTGTGGACCGATTGCTATGATTTCGGAAGCTGATAGATTGGCATATAAGGGTGGCAATGACAAATGAGATCCACCTTGTCGAGATAGAAGTTGAAAGTTTAAGTCTATCAAACTACTAAGATCAGGAGCAGCCTGAAGCACAAAGGGTCCTTCTGGTAAACGTTCAACATGTATAGTATATTCCATAATTTCTTCATTCGTTAATACTCCATTTACAAGATCATCCATAGTTTCATAATCAAAGTTATCCTGAGGAAGCAAAGGAGAGATGGAAAATCACTTTAAGAGGTATTCAGTAAATATATTAAACATGGGCGATACAGTAATATTGTCGATAAGTACGTATTTTATAATAACAGCTCCGTCCATTTAACAACTATTCATATAGTCATGCATCAGGATATGAATCTCAATAATTACGAGAAAACCCGAATGTTAAAAAAATGTGTGAAACATGTGGCTTATGAAGTAAAGCCCTCAAGATGTTTTACGTATCTTTTGATCGTGTAGCAAGCCTTTCGTATTACGGGGCAATAAGAATTTTATATAGTTTCGTAACAACATGACAGGCTGTCCCAATTTTTGTTTACATTTAAAACTATATTCATGATTAAGGTACATACACTAATGACCTGGTTTCGGAATAAATAATTCATTGCACCTGATGCAATGAATGTAATTTTGTGACCAGTAGCTAGTTTATACGACAAATTAGGAACTACATGTGTTACGTAATAGTTGGTGATAATTTCTTTCAAAAGCTCAAATGGAGTCAGACTAAGAAATATAATTTAAGTACTGTAAATTATGAGCTTGATTAGTAAATATGATAAACTCAGAAACTTGCGTTAAATGTAGTTTGATCAGGGTTAGATTTTAACGTCGAACAGTATGATTGTAGCACAATACAGATGGAGAACAACTTACTTAGATAGTTATATGATTTTTGAAAAGTACATATTATATATTCATTTCAGAATAAAGAGAATGCTTTCGTATATTTATTAGCTGAAAAATGTATGGAAAAAATTCTTTGACGTTATAAACAACATACAGGAGGCAGCCAGACGATGTTTTCTAGAAATGGAATATCCAAAAGATTTCAATTTGTGTTTAACATCGAAATTTTTAAACGCACATTTGTGTGTTATAAAAACACAGTGGCACATTGACTTCCAAAGATAGGTTGTGCAAGACATTAACAAGTGTTACGAAGACTAATGTCGGCCGAGTATATAGTTACTGTCAGTATCCAACCAACTTTATCCGATTTATACAGCCGATCAAACAATTGAAATGAAAAAAGTACTATACAAGGTATTTTCGTGTTAAGGCGTATGATTTCAGATTTGTTGCAAACATTTTTATGTATTATATCGACAAATTGAACGGGACCGATAGATAATGAGTAATGTGATTGACTGAAAAATGAGCATGAGCCGATTTATTAGCACAAACACGAAAATGAACTAATGTCAACTGTTGAGTGAATAATTTGATTTTTCTAGTCAAATGACAGGCATATACAAGGCGATGAAGCAAAATGAACTTAATTAAGTTTTACTAAAAACACAGACGAGTTGAAGGACACAGGTTTCGTAGGTCACTAATACAATTACAGTGTTCTGCTAACCATTACAATTTATAAATACTGTAAAATTTTGAAAACAGCTTTTTGTCATAAAATGTGAAGATACTAACACGTCCACGGATTAATTAATTGAATTCATAAAAATTTCAGAGGATTCATATAAAATCTCTATATATACGGTGAATATTATCAAATCTACGGATTAAATTTTTTTTAGTGAATTAAGAAACAATTAGGTTGGGGATTTAAAACTAACTCTTTAGAAGGAAGCATAAATTTTACTTGGCGATAGAGTTTTGTGGCTTATAACTGTATTGTTAAATGATTCAAAGCAAGTAATAGAGAAGAAACATTATAGGACAACCGACTTTTTTTCTATCGGGTATATTAAAGTAAACAGCAAGGAAATGTTATGTTGAAAAATGAGTCAGAAACCAACTGATGTGAAAATATCAGATGATTCTAATGATAAAGAAATGACAGTTCACAATATGCTATTCGGATGAGTTGACATTTTCTTTTTAATTAGTATGCTCCAAGAATCTTATTGTTGTGCTTATTTCTGGATTCATATATAAATTTAGTGTTTAGATATGGTGACACTCCTTAACAATACATTAATTGATAGCTAGAAATTATTCAGACTTCGGATTTCATTTTATAAAACTCAATAAGTCTCTTACAGAAATAAACGAATACATGGTAGTGGAGTTCAACAACCTTAGCAGTCAGGGAATCCCACTTATATGTTCACAATTTTGAGAACCACATTAGGTAAGATGAAAATGCGGAGTAGATACACACGAGCTTTTTAAACAGTGTAGGTAATTTCAAGTGTCACCATTTACTTTGTTCTGGTGATTTTTATGATGACAGTACTGATCCCTTCAATTGTTGGTGGGCCAATATCGATTGAGAGGTCCGTAGATGCTGAGTCGATGTTGGGTGGGTTCAGTGGGGCGAGTCGATTCAAGAGTTTCTTAAAGTGTTCTAGCCGCCTATTTCGCTACTCTTCAATGTTGTTGATTACTTTGCCTGCCTTGCTTTTCACTGGTCGTTCTGGTTTACGATAGTTACCAGCGAGCTTCATTGTTTTATCGTACAATTGTCTCATGTTTCCTTTTCATGCAGCCTTTTCCACCGTCATGGCTAGATCACCCGTAAAAGCACACGACAGTAAATCCATCACAATCAAATCCTTCCTACAACTTTTGATAACAATCTTATCTCCTCGACCAACCCTTTCATGACTTTACAACCTTGCACCTCTGACACAAACGGTTTCATCGGCACCTGAACTAGTGATAAGGAGTGAAGTAGTTGAGCGTGTTGATCACTTCACTTATCTTGGGAGTCTCATCAGTGCTGATGGCCTGGTGTGTGACGAAATCTCAGCTCGGATACAGAAGGCTCGATTGGCTTTTACCAACGTGCGTCACCTATGGCGCAGGCGAGATATCCGTTTGCTGTCTAAAGGACGAGTGTACTGTGCAGCAGTTCGCTCTGTCCTACTGAACGGATGCGAGACGTGGCCGTTAAGAGTAGAGGACTTCCGTAGGTTACTAGTCTTCGACCGTCGATGTCTCCGAAGCATTGCTCGTGTATCATGGGACAGCCGTATGAGCAATGCTGTCGTTAGGAAACGAGTTCGAGGTAGGGACGGCAAATCAATAGACGAAGTAGTGAAACTTCATCAGTTGAGGTTGTTGGGACATATGTTAGGTATGCCAAACCATCGACTGCCTCGACGAGCTATGTTTTGCAGTGTAGGAGTAGATTGGAAGAAAGTTAGGGGCGGCCAAACCAAAACATCACACAAATCCATGAAGTCACTAACAAATGGACTGAGTCATGTTGGTAGATGTAGGCTACCTGGTTGGGGTCCGCGAGACGAAAGTCACCGATGGTTAGAGACCTTGAACGAAATGGCTCAGAATCGTTTGCAATGGCGCAGATGCATCCACTCTTTGTGTTCTATGAAATTCTAAGCTTCTGCATTCCTCATAATCTCTACCTTTCTCCTTCTAAATTTATCTTACTGAATTATACTTCTCGAATCATATCTTCGCTCCCTGATCTTCTCCATTACTGCTAAAACTTCTTTTATTGCTATCACTCTTGGATTTGAACTGACAGTTGCGTCTCTGTGCTGATGGGGCATGGCAACCTGAACTGATGTACGTACGTACGAAGTTCTGCGTTGTATCTGTCTGTCTGTCTGTCAAACGATTTAAGTATGTGGAACATTATTCCCGGCATCCTGAAACCTCTCTGAACTACTTGTTGGCGCTTACTACATTCGAACCTTGAGTCGAATAGGGAAACAGGCTTCAAGTGTCACTATTAAGTTTGTTCTGTTTTAAGAGGAGAAATGAACCTACAATGTGTGCAGACCTTGCCTTCGACCAATTCATATTGTATACTATACCGTATAACTATTTATTCCTCTGAATAAATAAAAATGCTGCAGGTAGCAAACAAGTGACCACTTCAGCTAATATTTACTTGACAGACAACCTCAATAAACAACATCATTAAGAAACGCTACCTAAGTCTTGATTGTTTGTGAACGACTCCAAAGCCGACTAAATGATTCGTTTCACAAGTTCATCATATAATAAAATTTTTGTTTGAAACTAAATCCAAAAAATGAACATTTCAATATACTGGCGAGGTTTGTATGCCTAAGCTATAACACCCGTCTTGATACTGAGCACTAAACAGCTTAATGAAAACAGAAGAGAGTACAAAAATCTACAAATATTTCATTTGAAGTCGTACTTATTGACTGATAATCCTCAGAAGTTGGATATAATTTAAACATTGTAAATCTATAATTGGAAGAAGTTGACAGGATTTTACACAATATAGCATTAACTCACTTGAAACAACGGTGGTATATGGTTACTGCAAATAGCCAGTTGAATATCCATTAACTGAGAAGATTCGATAACTTCGCCGGGTTTCATCAAGTCGCTGAGCAACACCGGAGAATGATCACGATGAAACTCCCGAAAAAAATTTATCAAACGATTATTGTTTGTCCGTGAAAATATAACGTTAACTTTGAATTCGGAAGCTTGTACTGAACTTATCGCTTTGGTTATAGGGGGTAGTAAAAGAGTGAGTATAGCACTAGGTGTTTTTTCACGTTGTTCCTTGTGTTTACGCACAAAGTTTGCCAGAGAAACACCGCAAATCAGGTCAGCGGGAGCAAGCAGAAAATCTGAGACTCCACAAAGAAATTCACTTGACTCAAGATCGCGCATAATATCACCTAGATTATTACATTTTTCCATATTTCGTACAAAAATCTTCAATCCAGGGAAACAATTACTTGAAACAGTTTGGTTTATGTACGTTTGAATGTTTTTATAGCTTTTCAAAGAATATATTAAGATATTCCTGAAACCATCCGATGCGAGAGAAGATAAAGTCATATGTAACAGAGGAACATTACTCAGTGGGAGTAGACAAGGAGGAATGTAGTCACTTAGAGGTTCAAAGCGATAGGAAAGAAGGTCTGCGATAAGCACTGCACATAGTTCTTTGTCTGTCTGTCCAATATTAGATGCACTTTTCACTACATTATCTGCAGGACCTTTACTTTTGGTTTTGTTTGCCTTCTGTTTGTTCATTTTCTTTACAGAAACTGAACGTAAATTAAAAGTTTTAGCATCAATGAACAAGATAAAAATATTCATGCATATTTAAAGAAAAAAAGACGCCATGTGTAAAGTACACAATTTGTCGTATCTGCCTTACACGAAAATGTAGACAGAAATAATACAATCAAATACATTATTTTCAACTATTATTTAATTTTGGCTTAGAGTATGCTGATAAAATAATTCTATTTGGTGAAGACGCTAACTAAATGCAGCGTCTTCTGACGAAACGAGTACTAGGTAGGGATGGCAAATCAATAGGTGAAGCATTGAAACTTCATCAGTTAGGGTGGTTGGGACATGTGTTACGAGTGCCTAACCACCGACTACCTTGACGAGCGATGTTTTGTGGTTGGAAGTAAGCTAGGGGCGGCCAAACCAAAACATCACACAAATCCATGAAGTCACTAACAAATGGACTGAGTCATGTTGGTAGATGTAAGCTACCTGGTTGGGGTCCGCGAGACGAAAGTCACCGATGGTTAGAGACCTTGAACGAAATGGCTCAGAATCGTTTGCAATGGCGCAGGTGCATCCACTCTTTGTGCTCTCTCAAATTCTAATCTTCCGAATTCCTCATCACCTCTATCGTTCTCTTTCTAAAGTTATCTCACTGAATTATACTTCATGAATAATACCTCCGAACCCTAATCTTCTTCACTACCGCTAATACATCTAGTATCTCGACCACTATGGGATTTGAACTGACAATTGCGTTTCTGTGCTGTGGTATGGCAACCTGAACTGATGTACTTACGTACGAAGTTCTACGTTGTAACTGACTGACCAGTGAACGTCCTAGTTCTATTACTGTATATATAACCCAGTTGAAAAATAACATTGGAAAACCACAATGAGGGTGTGTCCTAAGCTATGGTTTACCCTCACTTATTTAAATAGTCTTTGATGAGGTAAGGTTCTACGATGAGTCTGCGAAACATTGACTATCAATTATGTTGGCCACTTTAGTTTATTTGTGATTATTACATGAGGACAATCATTCCATCCGATAGTCTGGAAGAGGTAACAGTTAAGCTCATTAACAAACAAGACTGACATATACATACAGTTTAACCAGTCATACTAAAGCAGAAGTATTCATTTCTTTCCTTTAAAATCTTAGATCTACGTAATGTCTTAATCCAAGAATTAGTATGAGTCGTTCGATTATCTGATGAAAACATGATAACTGCTATTTCAGTCTAAAAATCAGATGTTAGGAAGTCTGAGATTGCACTATAAGTCTGTTTTAGAGGATTAATCATGGGTTAGTGAGAAAACAAAAATATGAATATGGTTATAAAATAATGACTCAGTTTATACAACAAATAAATTCTCAAACATCAATCAAAACAGTAGGGAGCAGTCAAGAACGAACGAGTACGATATTAACACAACCAGATAACTGGAAAAGGTTCTGAAGGTTACATTACGTCAATTTGAACGACACCCTTTCCGAAGGCCGGTCCTCAGGATATCCAAATAATCGGCTAGTTATTTCAAAAGGGTTAATGTTCACCATCTGATTTATTTTATTCTGTATTCAATGTGGAACAAGGTTCATCAGTCTTTGGGGCGGTTAATATGATCATTATAGTGGAAGGACATGGAGCTCGAAAAAGGAGAAAGAGAGAAAAAGAGTTGAAATAATGTTAAAAATTAATGAGTAAAGCGATAAGTTGGTGAGCAGGCAAGGTGTTTGGATGTTATTGAATTGAGGAAATAAAAATCTATCAAACTGTTAACACTTAAACAAGGAGGAACTCACAATGATACACGGGATTTGACTTCCTTGTTATTGACAGTAGTTGATCAGCATCTAAAGGATTTTCAATTTGTCTGTCTACTAGAAATAAAAACTGAAACTGTTTTGAAGATATGAAATTAATGATTGGAATTTAAATGTAGAGAAAAGTCACGGGTAACACCTCAAAGGCGTAACCTATTACTGTTAGTAGGAGTAGGGGGATTTGTCTATCATTTCGTGATACATGTATGGGTGGTAATGAGGACACAATATGTTCATAGTCTATAATTCGTTTCTGAGGTTTATCTAAATATTTGGTGGACCATAAAAGAGTGCCTCGTGACTTCGTGTGAGTTCCGGGAATAGTCGATAAATCTCTTTAGAGTCTAGCAACAGCATGACTAGTTTCTTGTACTTAGTGATTGTATCACAGATACGGATAGTAATTGGTAACCTGTTCCACAATAGACTGTATCTTATTACAAAAAAATTACAACGTAATGATTTTTTCTGTTTTGCCGTTAATAGTGTGTATGCGTTGTTTCTAAGTATGTAAGCAGTGTCGTGGTTCATAATTGGGCGGTATTTTACGAACGAAAGACCATTTATTAGTTTATAGAGGAGCATTAGGTTGTTTTTCAGACGACGGCGCCATGGAGATTCTAGGGAAAGATGCTTGCATCTTTCTGTGTAGTCGAGGTTATGGCTCAATGCGAGCAGTCGCCGGGTGAAGCTTCTTTGTACATTTTCTACTCGCATTTTGTCCATGATATTCATGTTTGAAAAGATGAGTGAACAGTATTCAAGTTGATTTAGAGATTATATTTGAGGCATGTTCTTCGAATTTTAGGCTTTTAGAGTAACTAATACCCAGGTCACGCGCTGATATAAGTGTCTGAACCCTACATTTTCGTAAGTAGAGTGGTGTATCAAGGTGACGCTTACTAAAATGCATTAGGCCACATTAGTTGTGGTTAAACGGTAGTTTCCAAGTCTCGCTCCAGGTAGTTAGGTTATCAAGATCACTCTGAATCTTAGCTATATTTTCTTCCAGATCTTCAGGTTTATAGCTGTATACTATTTTCAGATCATCGGCATATAAATATGCACTTCCAAATTTTATAGTATTACATATATCATTTATGTACATCAGAAATAAGAGTGGACCTAAGACACTTCCCTGGATAACCCCACTGTTTATTGCTGTTGGCGATGAAAGACAGTCGTTGTACTTAACCATTTGTTGTCGCCCATTCAGGAATAAAGGAAACCATGAGTGTATTGGGTTAGTGATTCCGAATGACTTAAGTTTAAGTAAAAGACTTCTCTGTGGGACCTTATCAAAAGCCTTTATAAAATCGAATGAATCGAATGAATTAGTCGAAATGAATATATAATATGTACTTCTCAAAAATCATATAACTATCTAAGTAAGTTGTTCTCCATCGGTATTGTGCTACAATCATACTGTTCGACGTTAAAAATGTAACCCTGATCAAACTACATTTAACGCAAGTTTCTGACTTTATCATATTTACTAATCAAGCTCATAATTTACAGTACTTAAATTATATTTCTTAGTCTGACTCCATTTGAGCTTTTGAAAGAAATTATCACCAACTATTACGTAACACATGTAGTTCCTAATTTGTCGTATAAACTAGCTACTGGTCACAAAATTACATTCATTGCATCAGGTGCAATGAATTATTTATTCCGAAACCAGGTCATTAGTGTATGTACCTTAATCATGAATATAGTTTTAAATGTAAACAAAAATTGGGACAGCCTGTCATGTTGTTACGAAACTATATAAAATTCTTATTGCCCCGTAATACGAAAGGCTTGCTACACGATCAAAAGATACGTAAAACATCTTGAGGGCTTTACTTCATAAGCCACATGTTTCACACATTTTTTTAACATTCGGGTTTTCTCGTAATTATTGAGATTCATATCCTGATGCATGACTATATGGATAGTTGTTAAATGGACGGAGCTGTTATTATAAAATACGTACTTATCGACAATATAACTGTATCACGCATGTTTAATATATTTACTGAATACCTCTTAAAGTGATTTGCCATCTCTCCTTTGCTTCCTCAGGATAACTTTGATTATGAAACTATGGATGATCTTGTAAATGGAGTATTAACAAATGAAGAAATTATGGAATATACTATACATGTTGAACGTTTACCAGAAGGACCCTTTGTGCTTCAGGCTGCTCCTGATCTTAGTAGTTTGATAGACTTAAACTTTCAACTTCTGTCTCGACAAGGTGGATCTCATTTGTCATTGCCACCCTTATATGCCAATCTATCAGCTTCCGAAATCATAGCAATCGGTCCACAAGTTTTTGCAGCTAAGTCAGCGAAAGTTCATCATAAAGCTAGAATAATCGGAGCGTGCTTTATTGGACCTGGATGTGAAATATCGGCATATGCTTGCTTAATCGACTGTGCTCTTGGAGACAATTGTTTTGTTGGTGAAAATGCACGATTAAGACGTGTTATCGCTTTGGAAAACGTTCACATAGCTAGTAATGTGAAGGCGGACGTAGCTTGGTTGTGTTCTGGTGTTCGTATACTTTCTGGATTTAAACTTCCTAACCACTGTTTTATAGGCCATTCATCAACAACAGCTGTAACATTGGGTCCAGGATGTGGTAACTTGCCGATTAAGAGCGTTTTGGTTGCGCCTCGTGCAGGTGATTTAGTTATAGACCCTTCAGTCGGTGGTGAACAAGTCTGGGCAGCCTACTATAAAAAGAGACAACCTTTTGGATGAGTATTCTATTATTTTCTCCATTTTATCTGACAATAATCACTTACCTGAATACAGAAAATTAGGCCTAACTTCCCCAAAATCGATGTGATGAATAATAAACAGAGTGTTGGTTTACAAAATATCCCATCAGTCGAAATCTACTATGTAAGGGTGATTTTAAATTTGTCTTTTTGATACTTCTCGGACCTAAAGTGTAAATGTTGAAGTTAATCAATTATAAGTGGGATTTGGCATTTCATGTATTTAGTCTTCGATTGGAAAATTCAACTTTCTTCAAGTAATGAAAGTTTTATCGGCAAATCTTTTCAGTCAGTCTGTCAGTCAGTCAGTTACAACGTAAAACTTTGTTCGTACGTACATCAGTTCCAGTAGCCATACCATATTAGCACAGAGAAGCAATCGTCAATTCAAACCCCACAGTAGTAGAGGTAATAAAAGTATAAGCTGTAATCGAAAAGATTAGGGTTCGAAGATATTTTTCAAGGAGTATAATCTAGTGAAAAGGACTTAAAAAGAAATAGATAAAGGTGATGAAGAATGCAGAAGATTAGAATCTGAGAGAAGACACAGAATGAAAGCAACTTCTCAATCGCAAACTGTTTTGAGCCATGTCGTTCAAGGTCTCTAACCATTGGTTACTATGGTCTCGCGGACCCCAACCAAGTAGTCTAAACACACCGAAATGACTCAGTCCGCTTGTCAGTAACTGCATGGATTTCTGCCCTGTATAACGAGATCCATTTCTAGTGTTTCATCTCTTAGGTTTTTTTAGTGTAACTTTTTACACTATGAATAAACCTTACATAGTGAAACAACTGAGACATGTATATTTCCATTGAGGGATACAGTAACTAACTCCGTAGACGCCCAACTTCGAGATCAACATGCTGGATTTCGTGAGGATCGATGGTGTACCGACCAAATCGCAACATCACGCATTGTAGAATTTATTTCGCCGGCGGCTGTCCTAATCGCGTCCAATAGAAACACACCGGTACGATTCTCCTAGATCCACGTCCCAGCCAAATCAGAAAGCCGAAAATTCTAGGAGAAAACCGTCTCTATTGTTATAAAATGGAAATACAGAGGCTTACGATGTTTATGTTTCTTCCAGGACTAAATTACTCCGTAGAGTATCTATTACAATAGCTAGTAAGTGACACTAAGTCCAGCAGCCACCACGTCTATCCAAAAATGTGGCGGTAGCCATATTATATCAAATTTAAACAATATATGTACAATTCAGAAGCAAACACAAAAACTTCAATATAAGTACAAAATATGGAAAGAATAACAACATACAATGGTAAAATCTCAAATTGGAATCAAATAAAATACCAAAAATGTCAAGAGAAAAAGTCCATCAGGTCATGGCAAAAATATGTAAACATGGAGGGATTTTCCAAAACACAAAACATTCAAAAAGAATTCTACACCGGCCCGCAAAATCCCTCCATGCAAAAACAGCAAGCGTTGATGACACCTTATTTAGGGTTCCCATGTTATCCCCTAATCCACACCGGAATAACGTGTAGGACTTACAGCAGTACGCCTACCCGCCATCCAACATGGATATGACCTATCGCGCTAACTAGATACCTATACTTTCCCATCAGGCCCTTAATTCCCCTATCTATCGTGGAATGACCTAACGGTAGTATAAACCTTACCCAATTAACCCATACGAACATGAACAACGCGTCGCAAAACTGGTCATATCCTATCCAAGGACTACATTCTCTATCGTGGGGACGAGTCGCCAATCCACCACCACTTGCTCTGATCAGCAGATACCATAAAGTCCGTGATACTAACTTATCGACAGAAGTTTTTGACCCATAAATAATATGCAAGAGTGGGATCTCCAATTTTGACATTTCATCGTCTCCAGAAGACCTTAAGTAGCATGACGTAGGATCAATATTTATCCTTCCATCTCCTGATGCAGAGGAGGTTTGAACAGTGTTCATCATCGTCGGTAACTCATTTGTCACATCAGTGACATCCGGTTTATTATCAACGTCTAATTGATTCCGTTCTGCATTAGCATCCGTTTCAGCGGCACAAGACATATGCTCAACAATAGCATCGTCATCACATATCACTGTAGACTGGCTGTTACCATCAATCCCTTTCTTCTCATCATCACTCGACTGACAGTCAACCGTAATAGGAACAGTTACAGTTGCACAACCTTGTGCATCTTCAATCAACTTAACCTTCGTGACGAGGTCCAATGGCGTCGAAACACTAGGAGGCTCACTCGATGAAGTCGATAAACTAGTCCCTATAAGTGGACTTCTGACACTTTCTATATTCTCATTATCGCTGTCACTATTGAGGTTCTGATGGCTACTATTTCCATAGCTAGTCGTAGCATCCGAAAGAGCATGAGGTTCAGGCTTCTTAGTAATAGTAGCATCATGTCTCCTAGGCTTCTTAGCCGTTACTGTACCATCATCACTTATCCTAGAATCTACTCTAGGTCCAGCTATATAATTTACCCTAAGTGAAGGGTTCCGAAAATAAGCTTTATTGCGTTCAGTCAATCCTGCCTGGGCTTTATTCATATTTGCTGAACTCACTAACCTCTGATTACTCGAATCCAAATTACCGTTCCAGGCTTTTCGAGCAGCTAAGAGGCTTTTATCGTCACACACTTCGGATCCATCTTGATGCCTACACTTTTCGCCTTTTTCTTTCTTTTCTACACATAGAAAAGCCATCTTATCTGTTACACAAACCGGCTTCTTGCTAGGACACGCATCAAGAGAATTTACATCGTTACGGTCACGTACTCGTCCTTCATCAGGGTATGCTTTCGTGATATAATTGACAAATCGCTTATCTTCCGAGCGTGCTTTAGGTAGAAACGAAAAATCCTCATGTCTCGCACGCAGACCACTAGTAGCTTCCGTATTATTTCCTGTTTTAGCCTGATAAGCTAATCTTCCAAACCTACTACTAGCTATCTTAGCACGAGACATAATAAATTCCGTCAATTCGTTAAAATTGGGCTCTCTCTCCTCTTCATCCCACTTGAATACTAGCTCTGCCCACTGGGCTTGCATTCGACGAGGTAAGAGCCTTACTATTCGTTCTAAAGTAGTCATAGAGTTAAGTTCGGCTGTACAATTTAACTGTTCTAAAGTTAAAGAAGCATTCTGCATTTTAATGGCCAAGTTCGTCAATGATTCAGGATCATTAAATTCGACATTCCCAGTTCTAAGTAAGTCCTCTAAGGTTTCTCGCGCTATCACATGCGATTGTCCAAAGAGCTGTTTTAAAATAACCTTAGCTCTCTTATATCCTGCCTGTGGGTCCATTATAAGACAGCCTTCGATCGCATTTTTAGCTTTTCCCTTACAATAATGAATTAAATACAATAAACGCACTTGATCATCCTTGATTCGAGGTTCTATAAACGTCTCTATCTGTCGTATGAACTTAAAATAGTCGCGAGACCTTCCATCAAAATATGAAAGCTCAACCTTAGGTAATTCTAAACCCTCTATCGATGACTTACAATAATAAATATCAGACATAACATGTGGGTTACCCATAAAAAGGTTTTCACTAACGACTTGCCTAGAGCCCTGTGATCCGTCGAGCTCTTCCACCGTCCTCACGTGTGATTTTTTTCGGTTTGACATCATAAATAAAGTTCAATAACGAATACAAAATAGAATAAATCCAAATTTCAGTTCAAAATTAATGATAAGTAGTTCCAGCGTCTTCCTCCAAGGAAGTCTAGTATGATAAACGATTAAAATTCCAAATGTTTCCTTGTAATTCTTAATAATCCAAATAGATCCAAATTATATGCGTTCTGGTAAATATTTCCAAGTATAATTCACGCCAGAAGGAAAAACATCAGACTGTAGAATTTATTTCGCCGGCGGCTGTCCTAATCGCGTCCAATAGAAACACACCGGTACGATTCTCCTAGATCCACGTCCCAGCCAAATCAGAAAGCCGAAAATTCTAGGAGAAAACCGTCTCTATTGTTATAAAATGGAAATACAGAGGCTTACGATGTTTATGTTTCTTCCAGGACTAAATTACTCCGTAGAGTATCTATTACAATAGCTAGTAAGTGACACTAAGTCCAGCAGCCACCACGTCTATCCAAAAATGTGGCGGTAGCCATATTATATCAAATTTAAACAATATATGTACAATTCAGAAGCAAACACAAAAACTTCAATATAAGTACAAAATATGGAAAGAATAACAACATACAATGGTAAAATCTCAAATTGGAATCAAATAAAATACCAAAAATGTCAAGAGAAAAAGTCCATCAGGTCATGGCAAAAATATGTAAACATGGAGGGATTTTCCAAAACACAAAACATTCAAAAAGAATTCTACACGCATCATTTTGGAACAACCAATTGAATGCAACTCACTATTTTACATTAACTTCATTGACTACGAGAAAGCATTTGACAATGTGGACAGGACAACACTTCTTCTTCGACACTACGGAGTGCCTGACAAGATAATCAACATCGTACGGAATTCTTATGATGGATTCAACTGCGAAATTGTGAACGGAGATCAGCTGACAGACTCGTTCGAGGTGAAACCGGTGTCAGGCAAGTTAGCTTACTGTCATCCCTTCTCTTTCTCCTGGTGATCGACTGGAATATGAAGACGTCAGCATCTGGAGGGAAGTATGGGATACAATGGACAACCAGGATGCAGCTGGACGATCTGGACTTCGTAGATGACCTGGCTCTTCTATCGCACACGCAACAACAAATGCAAGAGAAGACGACCAGTGTAGCAGTAGCTTCAGCAGCAGGTCTCAACATACATAAAGGGACAATCAGGATTCTGCGATACAACAAAACATTCAACGATCAAATCACTCTTGATGGAGATGCCTTGGAGGACGTCTAAGCCTTTACATATCTGTGCAGCATCATAGACAACCAAGATGGATCCGATGCAGATGTGAGGGCGCGGATTAGCAAAGCAAGGGCTGCATTTCT